AATTTTTGACTCAAGAATTGTGAGATTATAAGTTTATTCTTTGTATTATTTTCACTAATTAAACTATTAATTCTCAGATTGTTAGCACACTTGTGGGCAATAAACAAAATGCTGATAAGATGCTTTTGTATGCTGAAAACCATAACCAGGTTGTTTGCTATCCTTTATTAGTATTATCTTGAAAGTATCAAGTCTTGTCTTTCTTTTTTGTCATTTTCTTATTTTTGGTAAATATTTTGTTAACGCATCTCTCTCAATCTACCATCTATCATGTTTAAGTTAAAATCTCATTGTTGTTTTCTTGCGGCCAGTCCATATCTGGAGGACGCTCTTTTGCAGAAATATTATTTGGTGAATCTGTTAAGGACTCTTCTGTCTCACAAGAATCATTACTTAGAGGCTGCTCATTACATATGGTTGGTGCTTAACCCTTGTATCTGATTTTGTTTTTCTTCTGAAAACAAATATTGAAGACATGAAGAGTTGTAGAAGACACAAAATCCTCTGAAAAATATCAAACGCTTAAGTTGATTAAATTTCGTCTAGGACAACCTTACATTGTGTTAATGTGTGAAAAGGGGGATAGAAAGAGTGGGAAGCTAGAAGAGTAGTATGAGGTATTTTGCATCCCATTATATATTTATAAGCGAGTAAATGGGGCAATGGAACCTACTTTCTGCTAGAATAAAAACTAGCGAAATATGCCTAATTTGTTGATTATGTCTTTGAAATCTTCTTTAAAGTTAACAACTTCTCTAATAAACTTGGAGGCATTAACAATACGTGCCATGTGACCAATCAGTTTCCTATTTTTGTCTTAAATTCAATTTTCAATATTTTTTGGCATTTGTAAATATATTAATCAATTATTTATTATCTTGCATAAGATGATTAGGTTAATAACTTTCACAATCGGTGGTCCGGCTTATTTAAATTTCATGGGCAATGAATTTGGACACCCTCAGGTTAGTTACAGTTTCTTATTGTGCTTATGATATTTTATTTATGTAGATTGGTATTTGGTAACACCCTATATACATATGAATAAGTTTTTTTTTTTTTTTTTAAAAAATTTTAATTTTCCTTGAGCCAGAGGGTCGAGTTTCCAATGCCAAGCAACAATTACTCATTTTCACTAGCAAACCGTCGCTGGGATCTCTTAGCAGATGAAGTCCATAACCAGTTGTTTTCCTTTGATAAGGTGATTGACCAAACATCAATTAACTTCTACACATACTCTTTCACATTTTCCGTAAGAAATTGACAGCTTCTGCTTCCATTCTAAACACTTCTTTTTTTGGTTCTAGGATATGATGCACTTGGATAAAAATGAAAGGGTGCTTTCAAGAGGCCTTCCTAACATCCACCATGTCAATGACACAATGATGGTATGGTTGTCTATAACCGACTCTATATCTTCTGCTAATCAAATGCTTTGGATTATTATATGAAGGAATAGTCTAATTTGAACATTTTTCCTTGTTTTCTAAATCGCAAAATTATTACAAATTTGAAATTAATGGTTGCATTTTCAAAATTTCCTAGGAAAGTTGAAAATTGGAGATGGTAAATGATATCTGTAACTAAAGTAGCCCTCGACTTCTGTATAATGGAACAGGTGATATCTTACTTAAGGGGTCCTTTTCTGTTTGTGTTCAATTTCCATCCTATGGATTCATATGAAAGATACAGCATAGGCGTAGAAGAAGCCGGAGAGTATAAAGTAAGTTGTATTTCTTCCTTTTCTTTTCTTTAATTATTAGCTTTTGTGTTTTTTGTTTGGCTGTGCTCCTCTAGGTGCATTTTCCTAGATAGAGGGTAAGCTTTACTTGGTTATCGTGGATGTGTGTAAACTTGTATGATGTCTGCATACATAAATTGAAATACGATTTTAAGAAAGATTTCCATGTTCTCTCTTTTCCCATTGGAGTTATATTTGAATCCTGAAAGCACTAACTAAAGCCCCTTTTTGGAGAAGATAGCATGTTGTACAACCAAGGCTTGTGTATATATATGATCAATGAATGAATTCATTATAGGTATTTACAATCTCTACTCATACTCGATAACATAAATAGGTAATCTTGAACACTGATGAAAACAAGTATGGTGGGCGAGGATTGATTGGCCATGAGCAGTATGTCCAAAGAACCTGCAATCGTAGGTAAAGGGCATATCACTCTTTTATGCTTTGTTCTGCAGTTAAAATTTTCTTGACATCATGTTCGGTTTCTGTTCATGGTTCTCATCACAATCGTCTTTCCAGAGTTGACGGAATGAGATTCTGCTTGGAAGTGCCTCTACCAAGTAGAAGCGCTCAGGTCAGTAATTTTCTTGAGATGCACGAGGCTTTTTCAGTTTCTTGAAAATGAGCCCATCTAAGGGATCCCGGGCAAGCTTGTAATCGCTCTTATCGTTAACAGGTTTACAAGTTGACACGGATTCTGAGAGTGTAGTCGTGGATTCTGAGGCTGATCAGCCAAAACGCTTCATGTCAGTTAATGAGTCGACGTGCTGCATACCATTCAGAAGAAAGGCGAGCCTAAGCCATCTGTTCAGGCTGTTCCTTGATCCTTCATCAACAGCTTTGAAGGTGAGAATCATGGGTAAATGCAGCAACAAATTCTTTGTATCATTGCAATAGCTGCATTCCCTAAATGGTATTGGAGGTGGCCAGATTTTGATTCCCCTCTTCCTCAACACCTAAGTGGCTAAGTTTCAGAAATAAAATGCAGAAAATTCTGTGCCTAGAGCCTGTAATCTCTACTCATCCTTGAAAATTTTATGATGTCAAAAGGGCACTGCGTAAATGGAAAGTAATTTTTTTTTATTAATTGTGATGATAATATATTTGGATTACCAACATCATATATTATGTAATCATAAAATTATCATTGTATCATACTACAGGGTATTGATGTATTGCCCTTGCACTCTAATCCACTTAACAAATTCCAAAGACAAGTACTGTTGTTCTATTCCGTTTTACTCATTGCTTTCCTTTACTACATTCTAACACTTGTCATCTTTTAATATTTTAAAATGTGAAATTAGAATATTGAGTTAATTTCAGCACATATCCTTTGAGTATCGTGATTTTTCACATTTGGTTCTCATCTTTTAATTTGGACAAATGTGACACTTGATTATCAAAATCTTTCTACCATTAGTCCTTTCGTCATCTTAGTGTTAATTAGCCGTGAAGTTTATGGGTAAAATCGTCATTTTGTTGTCGGGCTATCTTATGATGATCATGGAGGGCAGTTTTGCCCAAATGAAGATGTCCCAAAAGGGGAATACCATTTGGGTCAGGAGGGAGTTTTTTTTTGATGTTCAGCAACTCACGGAGAAGATAGACAACGATGGCTACTGCTATGGTTGTCCATATCCAAACCATTGTTGCAGTGATATGAAACCTTTTCAGTTTACAGAATTTGTGTTCTTCATATCACTGTGGAGAATGAAGAGGGAGAAGAAACTTAAGCACCGAAAGTACAATTTTACCCCTGAACTTCACAGCTAACTAACACTAAGATGACGGAAGGATTAATGGTGGAAAGATTTTGATAGTCAAGTGTCATATTTGTCCAAATTAAAAGACGATGACCAAATGTGGAAAATCACTATACTCGGAGGACCTTTGCTGAAATTAACTCTTGGAATATTATATAATTGTTCAAATTTTTTGAATCTCATTTACTCAATTTTATAATTTAAAATTATAATCTAAGAAAAAATTACCACATTGATAATGTAAATAACATGATCGGGTACGTACAATGTTCGAAAAGTATAGTCCCTACTCGTACGTCTATCTCTTTTCCCGTCCTTTCTATCTCTAGTGCTATATGAGAGGTATTTATAGAGGTTGGGAAAGTTACATGCTAGATTTTCAATATGTTATTCATATGGTGTCCAAATTTTGGATAGTTAGGTCGGTACTCGGTAGTGCCAAGTATATAAAGATGTCTTATACAATTGATTAGACTTGATAAGGGCCTGAATTTTTCAGGTGGCAAATTAGCAAAGTCACATGTAAGTTAAGGCCAAGTGAACTTCTCCTGTCGTTGATCTTCTTCTTGATTCTTGAATGTCGGTCAGTATAAATCAACACAGGTCAATTTAGATCGATGTCATACTGTAACCTATCATATACTAATTGACATTAGTACTAATTATATTAAACACAAATTAAAGCAATAATTTAAAAAAAAATAATTTTATTTGTGTTATCAATATTAATGGATACTTCAAAAATTTTCATTATAATATCATTATATTATAAAGTTTTTAACTTTACTGGTATTTTCACCTGTGCGAGTGCGATGCACGAAATGAATTTGTTATATTATATAAAAATATTAGCCATGTTAAGTTTTAATTGGAGTTTGAAATTTAGTAAATTTAACATAGAATTAACAGAGAATTATAAAACTAATAATGGAGAATATAATTTTTAACGGGAAAATGAATAATATAATATTGTTGAATAGAAATATGAATTTTAATATTGTTGTATTGCTAATATTATGTTTGACTATTTTACTACTTAATCATCCATTCGCATATATTCAAATATTATATATATGTTATAATAATGATAAAAATTAACAATAATTATAATATATGTTGCTTCCTATTTTTAGTATTTGTACCGTCAGATTTATTTGTCACGCACGGAGTATTATTGTACATTTGTACTATTGTATTACAAATAAGAATTTTGATATAGAATTATAGGATGAATAGAAAAGTAGAAAAAAATATATTCTATTAATAATTATATTACATTATTTTATAATATTAAAATAAGAATTTTAATGTAGAAATTATACTACGAATAGGAAAGTAAAAAATAACATATTAAAATAGATATATAGTATAGATAGATAGATAGATAAATAGATATAATAAATATTAGAATGAGAATTTTAATATAAAATTATAGTATGAATAGGAAATAGAAAACAAACATATTAAAATCACCGTTTTTGGGTTTGTTTCCCCAATCAGTTGTCGTGCCCAAAATAGAAAATCAAGCAGAAGAAAACCTAATAGTTATTGGAGTGAAATTGCTAGAAGAATTCCAGTGGTGCTGTCGTAGATGGCTAATCTCCCTCAGAGTCTCTCGATTAACGCCGCCGCCTTCGGTGGAGGTCCTGCCTCTGCCTCCTCCTCCTCCGCCGCAGTCGGACCTCAGCCCAACAAAGACCGTAAAATGCAATCCGCTGAGCAGCTTGTGCTAGATCTTAGCAATCCTGATCTCCGTGAAAACGCTCTTCTTGAACTCTCCAAGGTCCGTAGAAAGAAATATTAAACCTTCTGGCAATAGAATTCACCTGCTTTTAGTGGACAATCTGTACATGTTATTTTATTTTTTTATTTTTAAGTAAATGCTTGGGCGTTAATTTTTGCACGATTTACTGATTTCACATTTAAAATCGGCAGATGACAGTTAATATATATTGAATTAGCATGAGCTCATTTCTTGTTTCTGTAACTAATTGAGTTTTTTTTTTTCTTTCTTTCTTTTTCTGTTGAGAAAAGATGAAGATGCTTTGATAACTGTATCTTTTCTTTGTTTAAGAAACCCTTGTTTTTCTTACTCCTAAAGTTGATCTTCTAACCTTAAAACCTGGTAAAGTTTTAAACTTTTAATTTTCAGTAACCAATTTTTTAAGCAAAGAAGTATAGGCATATTAACTCGGGATATTTCAGATAAAATGTTGTCAGTTGATATGGTTTCTATACTTCTGGAAACTTCTACCTTCAGAATTAGAAGGGTTAATTTCTATGCTTTGCAACTTGATAAAGTTCTAATGTTTATTGACAAATTTTTAAGCAACAAAGTATGGGGATATTAGCATGGCATTCTTCTGAAATATAGGAGTTTATTTGAGATTAAAATATTTTCTTTTTTGGCAGTCTATTATTTCAAAAGTTTATGTGCTGTGGTAGCAACAGTAATTGTTTTTTCTTTTTTTAATTTTATACATTACAGAGTATTAAGTAAGCTAGTAATAACATAATTTTGTTTATTGATAATAATTAGTTTCACCTAACAGGCATTTCTTTCCCCAATTTTTTTCTTTTTTATAGAAGAGAGAATTATTTCAAGATCTGGCCCCATTACTATGGAATTCGTTTGGTACTATTGCCGCACTGTTGCAGGTATTCTCCAAGGATTTCTCAGTTGATTCTAGAATTCTTGAGTGCCTATGGATGCCTTAATTATTTATATTTTGCTTTATGCTTCTATCTGAACATGCTTGCAGGAAATTGTCTCCATCTACCCTGTTTTGTCACCACCAAACCTGACTCCAGCACAATCAAATAGAGTTTGTAATGCACTTGCTCTTCTTCAGGTATAAAATTTCCCAGGAATGTTGTCTGAAAGTTAGTAGTTACATTGTGGGATTATGGAGTTTGCACACATTATACCCTATTCTACAATAATTGTTTTGATCCTTTTATGTCTGAATTTAACCAGCCATCCTATCATCTTTTGCAGTGTGTGGCCTCTCACCCAGACACCAGAATGCTATTTCTTAATGGTAAGAATTTTTCTTCTCTGAATTGGTAAAGGATTTCTTGGTTTCACGGTTCTTGTTGACTTTTGAGTGTATGAGTATGTGAGGAGGAGAATCGTGGAGCATACAACCCAACTTCAGTTGAAACTTTTTGTGTTTACTTAGGTTAACTTGTTTTATCTATAACTGAAATGTGATCTATATTTGAACATCGTCAAGACAAAAAGATGGACCATATATTACTGTTTTGCTTTAGTATTTATTTATCTTTATGAATGTATAAGAGTGCCATTGTTCGGTTGCCAATATATCACATTGGAGTGGTGCTTCAAATTTCTCATGAAATTTATTTGAGCTGCTTCTTAATGGTCTCTCCTGTTTTGCAGCCCATATTCCTCTCTATTTGTATCCTTTTCTTAATACAACAAGCAAATCAAGACCTTTCGAATATCTTAGGCTTACTAGCTTAGGTGTCATTGGTGCCCTTGTGAAGGTAATTGTTTCTGTATCTTGTGCAATACTCTTCTCTATGGCATGCTATTGTCTATGTATTCATTGTACATCATGATGGGGAAAAGTGCATGTGTACATATGTATACACACACCTATATGAGCAAATGCTGTGTGGTACACAGGAAGACAAAAATATAGGAAATTATGTAATAGAGAGCTGACTAGATGATAAAACAAGTTGGATATATTTACCAGTGATCTAGTAATCAATAAACTTCTGCATTAAAACTGTTATATTATTCATTGTTCTGGAAAAATCTTGGTGGAATATAATGCATCGGTTTACACTTGAAACATAGTAAATATACTTAATAAGATGAATATATTTTGTTTTATATTTAGTTCAAACTTTTAATGATTTAATTACTTAAATGTCATTATTGTGATGGTCCGTCATTGCACTTTATATAAAATAATAATAATAGTTGAAATATTTAAAAATATAATACCCATTTTATTTGAGAAATAACTCATGGTCAAAATTATTTTCAAAATAAGGATATAATCTTTTTGCTTGGATCTTTTCAGGTGGATGACAGTGATGTTATCAATTTTCTCCTGTCCACAGAAATAATTCCCCTGTGCCTGCGCACAATGGAGATGGGGAGTGAACTGTCAAAAACAGTAAGTAATTTCTCTTTGACTTGCATGCACAAACGAAATGAGCCAAGTACATTACTTTCATATTTGGACTTTCCGTTATGTGGCTAATGTAATGTATGGTATCTTATTTAACACCCACCTCAATGACAAATGTAGCATATTACCCTTTCAAGAATTCACAATTTTAAGTTTTTATATGTTCACTTTCCATGGACAGTTTTGTAATAATAATATGAATATGTTATCTGACTAAAGGACTGGTGCTAATAGGTTGCGACATTCATTGTGCAAAAGATCCTTCTAGATGATATGGGCCTTGATTATATATGTACCACAGCGGAGCGGTTCTTTGCCGTAGGCCGGGTGCTGGGAAATATGGTGACTGCCCTTGCTGAGCAGCCTTCATCTAGATTGCTGAAGCATATAATTCGTTGCTACCTTCGATTGTCTGATAATCCAAGGCTCGTCTTCTATTCCCTCAACTTTTCAAATTTCCTGGCCTTAGTCCTTTCCCTTTTTCTATTGTTTACTAATGAAGACCATATTTATTTTGTCGCTGCAGAGCTTGTGATGCACTTAGAAGTTGTCTACCAGATCTGCTTAGGGATGCCACTGCCTTCAGTAGCTGTCTTCGAGTATGTATAGTTTGCAGTTATCTTTACTACATCCCTGATTTATCTTTTCCTTTTTGATTAACATTTTTATTCTTTTCTATTGTGTCAGGAGGACCCGACTACTCGGAGGTGGCTACAACAGTTACTTCACAACGTGCAAATTCCAAGAGTTCCCCTACAAGCAGGGGGAGGATTTGATCATATGATGGTGAACTAAATTGACAAGATTCTACCTCGTGGTATGTCTCTAACTGGGCTTTTACTTAGCTATATCTCTTTGCTACTCAAACGGTTAATTGGAAACTTATGTTCAGCTATATATGTTAGTCTCGATTCTTAATTTTGAAATTGGTGTGCAGAATTCAACATCTGTGATTGTGAAGTGACTTGATTCCAGAAAACCCGTTGAGTCAATACAATATTTATTCTTTTGTTGCTTTCGATTGATGATGGAATTGGATAGCCAAGTGTGGAATGTGCAGTGACCTACATGGTGGCAGTGTGGAAAAATGTCGGATACTGTAATTAGTAGTCTGATGATCCTGTTGTTATGTGCTGCTTGTGTTACCCCTTCCTTGTAGATTAGAGCCATACACGAGCTTATGTTTCTCCGTAGATTAGCCATACGAAGTTGATAGTCGATGTGGTTGTCAGTCTGTTATATACGTCGTGTGGAATTTTTTTTTATTTTTTTTGTATTTTCTCCCTTAGAACTCAAGTAAATAGGATGAATCTTACCATCATCATGTTCTCATGCTCACCTTTAATTATGTAAGAGTCTTTCATAGTAAAACACATTGCATATTTAGTCAAGTTTTACGTTGGGCGCTTTTATAAGCATTTTCAAAGCTGAAATTATCACTGGCACTTGCCCCTTGAGTCGTAAGTTTTTAATATGTATACGCAACAAGCCAACAGCGTTCTTAAAAGAATTGTTATATGAAATTCAATGAAGATTACAACGACAGATTTAGCTGCAACTGTGCTACCTTCCCCAAAGGAGGAAGAAACTACCTAATTTCATAAGAATTATAATTTGTACAGTTATCAGAAGCCCAAATTGCTCAAGACTCTTCTTCTATGAAATTATAATACACTTCACCTGGGAAATGAGCTTGAACTTCACGCTATGATACTGGTGTATTTGCAAAGGAATGAATGAATGCTGATTCTGCATCCTAGGTTGACCATTTCATTAGATATGCAACTACACATCCCAGCAAAGCACCAGCAAGAACCTAGACCAACATAGAGATGACTATCATGGGCCAGAGGACGGGTTCGTTGGGTTCAGGATATAGTACAACGAAATCGGAAAACTTGAATCATCAAACATAAAGATAACTACAAAAAAAGCGGGTCACTTCTTAGAACCAATGATCAATCAATCTAACACGTTAGGAAATGAGTAAAATGAGAGTACATGTAATGCAACTCATTTTGTCAACTTCGCATAGAATTCCAATGAATCATTCAGATAACAAAATATTAGTGCACCATTTTATAGTGTCCTTTCAAGACTTGAGAGTTGAGAAATGGGAAATATGCAGAGGGTTAGGATGACACTGACACTAAAGCTTAATAAATTTTCAAAGGAAAGAAAGATTGATAAAAAGGATATTAACATTATCAATCATACCTGAAGAGGTGTGTGACCAAGGGAATCTCTCAGAGGTCTAATGCTAGACACAGGATGTTCAGGCGGCAGTTCACATACAATTTGATTTAACAACTGCAAAAGAACATAAAAGTTCATCATGCATTCATAATATTTAACCAGAGTTCTTTTTCCAGAGTGATAATTTCGAAAGAGAGCTCTACAAGGACACACTACACTTGCAAGGGAAGAGAACTAAATCCAGAAAACAACTTAGGCCCTCAACAAACCTTCTCAAAACTCGTTTTTATAGTTTAATTAACACAGAGAATATGATGGAACACATTAAATAGAAGAATCAAGCTTGAGAATTTACTTCTGCTTGCCTACCAGCATGATGCCTAACACCAGTAGCATCATACATTACCTGTAACAAAAGAATACTGTTGGAATTCAACAAATTGGATCAAAGTTTCACGAAAATTGACCAAGATGCTATCTAAAGGGTTGATGTATAATTTGAATGTATGCAATAGTGTGTAAACCTTTAACAAAACCAAGCATAGAGGCAAGAAATCATTGATGTTGTACTTAGCAATGAAAAAAATTGTAAAAATTTACTACAATTCAGGAGCAAAAAAAATGCAAGTATAGAAGGAAGAAAATATAGTTTAGAAAGCACATACAATACATGCCAAAACCACTGCAATAGCAAATGCTGATCCTCCAGCTCCATCTTGAAATCCAATTACCGCTGCAAGGGCACTAACCGTTGCTGAATGTGAAGATGGCATTCCGCCGGAGCTAAGCATCTTTCCAGAATCCCATCTCTTCTCCTTATACCTGCCAACTCAAACTGCACCACGTTCAAATTAAGATCAAACAAGAAAGAAGAAATTAAAGGAAAAATGCTTTATAATAGCATTAACACGATCCTTGGCTCTTTCTCTTGCAACTAAACACTAATTACACGGCAATGGTGAAGGTTAGAGGCAAAGAGATAAGGCAAGGGCTTGCCAGGCGGTAAAAAACTTGAGAAACTGGGCGAGAGCGCAGGAGAGGAGAGCGGTGACCAGGGTGAGGTTAGAGAGCGTAACGGACGGTTGCACGGAGTAGGATCGTAGGGTTGACGACGCATCTCCCGCCGTAATCACCTCGTTCATTGTTGATAGATTCGAGAAAGAAAGGAATTGCGCGGGTAGATCAAGGTTGAAATGATCGAGAAGCTGAAAGTTACGTTGTTTGCTTTATCCAGAATTAGAAGGTCGTTTAATCCGTTGAGTTGACGAGGACGGCCACTCGCCGGCTGCCGCCAAAATCGGAGATGGTAATTTCGGTCGGAGGCGTCACAACCCCGTTTTCCCGCCGGTTATCTCTTCCATTATTTTGGTTTTCGTCTTTTATCATCTCCTTCATTAATGAAGGTGTTTGGTAAATAGGTTAATGTAGTTGATTAGTGATAATATTAATTGATTGTAAAAAATATTTGATAAATTATCTATTAGTGATAGCTATGTAAAATAATTTATTTTTTTTTTATTAGAAAAGAAGGGGATACCTACCTACACCTACATCGAGACTCAAATTCTAAATCTCTCACATAGAGGAGCAACCAGATACCAATGGATCAAAAGGTGAGAGACTCTGTGCTTCATTAGGTTGAGAAAGTATATTTAAACAGATACTACAATGTATCAGTAGCATTCAAAAAAGAAAAAAAAATCAAACTAATAAACTTTTAACCGTTTAAAACAATAAGTTGTTAAAAAAAAAAAAGAAGAAGAAAATGGTCAAATAGGCTTTAAACTTTAAAAAAATTTAATTAAACACTCAAATATGTCAAATTGGGTCAATGAAGCCCAAAAATCGATAAATAACCTGTTATTACAGGTCATTTTAATTCCAGTGACGGATTCCGGCCACCGGTGACAAATTCCGGCGACCGACGACATTTTCCGACTGTCCGATCATCTTCCACCGAAGAAGACGACCGGAGCGGCGGCCGTCCGGTCGTCTTTGCCTGTGGAAGACGATCGGACGGCTGGAAAATGTCGCCAGTGGCCGGAATCTATCACCGGAATTGAAATGACCTGTTATAACTGGTCATTTATCGAGTTTTGGGCTTCATTGACCCAATTTGACATGTTTGAATGTTTAATTGAACTCTTTTAAAGTTTAGGGGCCTGATTGACCTTTGGGGTAAAGTTTAGAGGTCTATTTGATCATTTTCTCTAAAAAGAAATTAATTAATTAAAATATTGACTGTTTAACCAAATCAAACACATAATAGTGATCTGATCAAATAAATAAAAAATTGAATGATAAGTTAAGTATATTATAAAATAAGCTCTTAGTCAATAATTTTTCCAGTCATTCATAATGTAATTTATTAGACAAAGAATTTCACATTCAAATTTTACAATGTGAGAGGTTGTATGGTTGGATTGATCCATTTTTTTAACCAATCGTAAGCGGAATTAAGTACATAATTTATGTATGTGTAGGTATGTCTTTTAAAATAAGTGGTTGTAGTGCGAATGAATTTGAATAAGTTTTATATTAATAAAAATATTGATGTACTTAAATATTGGTGGTTGTAACGTCAATGACCTAGTAACATAAAATAAGAGATCATAAGTTTCAATTTGAGCCTCAATAAAAATTAAAAAAGTAATTATGAACAGATTTAATGCGACACAAAATCAAGTAATAAATTAATTGGTTAACAAAAAATTTAGAAGTAAATGTCTAATTAGATTTTATTTTATTCTGTACGTGCATGGGGGGCAATGAGGCAGCACTCAACAGTGCGCCACGTTTCCGCAGAAAATATAGTTAGCTGTACACCGCCGCCATGTTTTCTTTATTTTTCTTCCTCACAAAGCCATCGTTTCTTGATCTAAAACACCGCAGAGATTACAGTGGAAGATCTATCATATCAACAAGTGCACAACAATGGGCGGCGGCCACCTTCTGCATCTCTACAACTCCTCACGGGCGTCCATGATTAAGCGACTAACCGCTCACTTCCCAGTCTCTGTAAAGCTCAATCTCTGCTTCATCTCTTTCTTCTATCATTTAAAGCTTAATTACAGTGTTTTATCATGTAGCAGAGGTATGCGGTAGCATCGGATAGGGGAAACCACGGCGGCGTGGAAGAGAGAGCGCCTTCAACAGAAGACGAGTTCAGAAGAGCAGCGGAAGAGAAGAAACGCCAGGGATTCGCCAGCCAGACTTTGGAGAAGGCGGAAGACGGCGCAGGAGAGGCGGCGGAGAAAGAATCTGATTTTGAATCTGTGAAGGAGAGTTACAAGGACGCGCCGCCGAGAGGTAAGTTCCACAAGACTGGGGATGCTATTCCTCCAGAAAACGTGCCCTGAAAAGGAACCGAGTAATATACTGTTTTTCATATCTGTCAACCCACAAATCATCAATAAATGAAGTCTCAATCTGAAAAGGAACTGAGTAATATACTGTTCTTCAAGGTGGCAAGGCAAATTTGCAGATTTGGGATTTTCTTATATCCAGAAGTCTCAGAGCAAAGTAAAAGAGGGAAAGCTGAAATACTCAGTAGCTAGATGATACAAACTGTAAATAACAGCCATGAGAATCCAAAGGAAAGCATATATTAAAAGAGAAACAAGTAGCATAAAACATCTGATCATCATCCATTAGTATCATTATAGCCGCCTTGTATTACAAATTTACAATCCCTTCTTGGCAATGAAGGTTTGCCAAAAACTGTAGCATACAATTCAACTAAGGCATCTCAAACTCTCTCTCGATTGTTATGCAATAACACCTCCAGTCTGGTGCAACATTGCATCAATTTCATCCCCATCCTCCATCTCCAGCTGCAAGTGAAGAATTGGATATGATTCATACATATATTCTGGTGTTTAGAGAAGAAAGGTGGGAAATTAAAACTCTTTCCCCTTCCCATAAATTTTGGCAAAATCATAAGAGTATATAGTTGGGAGAAATAGCTAGCATACCTCATCAGGAGTCTGCTCTCCTCTAAGACGGCGACCATCAAACAAGAATGCAATAGAGTTCAAATCCACAGATTGTCTGACACAGTAAGCATTCATCAGCTTCTTCAGCTGTGTGCTTCTCTTGATCTTGAAAAATACTTCGTTTCCATCCTGCAAATGTTTGACATGTTTACACACTTTTGCCACCAAATTACCATGAAAAAATAGATAGCCTTGATGATATGCTCCATGAGAACAAATGTCTAGCGCAGAAACCACAAAGGAAATTTAATCAATGATCACCATTCTAGAGGTAGGCTAAGAAACTAATACAAAAATGGCATTATCAAGGGGGAAACAATCTAACAGATGAATAAGAACTTCAAACCAGCTAAGAAGGCAGCAGATGCATCATCGAGTTTAATCCTGAAAATATCTTTTACTAATATAATGTTGCCCTGCCCTGTCTAACATCTTAAGCTTAAGCAATCAACCATGGAGCAATCGTATTGAAAATCAACGTCGAAACAAACAAACAAACGCAGAGAAATTCCCAATCAGAAAACAGTCACTAAAAATGGAACTTCAGAGAAAATATTGAAGAAAAATAAACAAAAAATAAGGGGAGACCTGGCCCTTGACTTTGAGGTTGATTTGCACGCCAGACTGATCGAGGGGCTTCTTGTCCTCCTCCTGGTTAGTGAAACCGGCGTTGGTGACCGTCGACATTCCTTCCACACTTGCCGGACTGCCGCTGTTTCTTCCGATTCGACCTTGGTTCAGCGTTGTTGTACTTTTATGATACGCGTTTACTAGTCCCTCGGTCCACAGTCCACCCCAAGTCTATGCTACTTTATATTTTATGGAATTCATGAGAAAATTCTAAAGTGTATTTTAATAGAATATTATTTTGAAACTTTTTTCGAAATGATCAAAATTTATTATTCGAATAATAATTTTAAAAATACAATTATTTCTTTATATATATAATAATAATAATCCAATAACTCAATGACTTATTACAATATATATAATACTAATCCTCACCCAATACAAAAAAAATAAATAAATAAATAAATAAATAAATAAAAATATTACAAAATGTACAATTAAATTCAAATATTTACCGCATTCAAAAAAAAAAAAAATTCAAATATTTACCAGAGCAGCCCATACTGAATATGGATACAAGTATACAATAGTGAACTCTTGGGCTCTTGGCCCACAACCTAATGCCCTATTTATGGGATTATTATTTTATGGACCATAGTCTATACAACTATGTAAATTATAAATATTTTGTAAAAAAATATATTATTTGTGTATATAAAGTAATTATTTGGGTACGAAAAGTATATTATTTTATAAGTTTTATTACATGTACTCTCTCAATTTTACTTCCTGATATGGCGGCCAAGCTAGTTTTTCCATATGGGTCTCAATACAAGTGTCTAAATCAAGATTTTGTATGTAGAGTGAAAGTTGTGTCGGAGTAAAAGTTAGGAGTAGAAAATGTAAATACATATAACATTTTTCTTGTTTTATATACTATCAAATAATGTACATTCAGTACATAAAAAATGTACTTTATATTTATGGAAAATATATTATTTGAGTACTGAAAGTACATTATTTTGTATACTATCAAATAATGTATATTCAATAAACAAATATTGTACCTTTTTTTTAAAGAACAATATTGTACGTTTAGTATATTAAAAACGTACATTGTACTCATGGTCTACACAACTGTATAGATCATGATTCACGGAAAAATTTACCCTATTTATATAGAGTCATGTTTGATTATAATATAACTATAAAATTTAGAGAAGTTCATTGCATAAATGTATATAGTCTAACATATACCGATATACTACTATTACTTTTTGAATTTTTATTTTTATTTTTTTACAAATAACTTTACTCAAATTCAGTCGTCAACATGTACCTATTTTAGTACCCTAATTTTTACTAAACTCATTAATATTATATTTAAGTAAAATAAGAGAATAATTTTATTTTATTTTTTTTTGGAAAAAAGAATATGTTTTTTAAAAATATATATACTTATCATTTAAAAAAAAGAAGAAGAAGAAGAAGTTGTCTAGGCCTCTAATAAGATTATTGGCAGATTAGAGGGTAGAGGTGGGTGCATGTTTCCAAGTTGTAAAGAATTACCGAATTAAAATACTATTGCGTTTTCACAATTCCAAAAAGAAAAGGAAAAATAAAAATTAATTACCCAAAATACCCTCTATCTGACTCTCTCTCTCTCTCTCTCTCCCGCTGGCCCCCTCTCTCGATTCTTCACCCAAACCACCACACATAGTACTACAGTAGAGAGAGAAACTGAGGTAGAGAGAGGGAGGGGGAAAGAGAGAGAGATGGAGGAGGAGATTAAAGGATAAGATCTTCCCATAATCGTCATCTATCCCATGACGTTATTTGTTTGATTTATCTTCTTAGTAAACTAGATCTTCTCTACCCGTAGAGAAAAAGATCTGATTTTTTTGGTGCTTTGACTTGGACGATGCGGAGAGGCAGAGCACCTCCAGAGTTCAAGCAATCTCCGGAGGCGGCCGCCGCCGTCGGAGAAGCCAACGGATCTGGAGGATCTAAGGAGATTAGGTTCCGCGGAGTGAGAAAGAGACCGTGGGGGAAATTCGCGGCTGAGATCAGAGACCCTTGGAAGAAGACCCGTGTATGGCTCGGGACCTTCAACTCGGCAGAGGCTGCCGCTCGAGCCTATGACGCCGCCGCCCGGAATCTCCGCGGCCCTAAAGCCAAAACCAACTTCCCCTTGCCTGCTCCTTCTCATCTACCTCCTTATCACAACCTTCAGTTTAATCAGAGGCCAAACGCAAACGATTCCTTTGTCGATCAACAGATGTACATGCAGGAGCATCCTATTCTCTCCCAGAGGCCAACTTCCAGCGGCATGAGTAGTACAGTGGAGTCCTTCAGTGGGCCCAGGCCTCCTCGGCAGCAGACGGCGGCGGCGCTGCCTTCTCGCCGCCACCCCGTGTCACAGCCGGTGGTTCCAGATGATTGCCATAGCGACTGCGATTCTTCCTCTTCCGTTGTTGACGACATGGACTGTGAAAATATCGCCTCTTCGTCTTTCAGAAAGCCGTTGCCTTTCGACCTCAACCTGCCGCCGGCGGTGGAATACAACGTGGATGCTGAAGCCTATGAACTTCAATGCTGCACAGCTTTGTGTCTCTGACCGACTATCATGGTGATTCTTGGCTTCCGATTCCGAATCATTGTAACCAATTTGATCACCTAATTTTACTTTTTTTTATTTACAATTTCCTCTTTTAATGGTCCGGAAAAAAGCTTGGAAAAAAAGAAGAAAAAAGGATCATAATTAGAGCTAAGAGTCTAAGACTGAACTGTGATCATAAAAGTTCAGAACATCCGATGGTCTGTCTGTGATGAGTCTGCTGTTTGAAGTGGATTTACATGTTATTTTTAATTTACACCTCATATTTGGTGGTATGGGATAATCTTGGTGTTCTGATATTGATGTATGTTTTATCTGATTGTGATTTCTACTATGTGGCTGGTTGCTTCTTGATGAAAAACAACTCTATTCTCTGTTGGAATATTCAATTCGTATGTGTGCTCTTATGTTCTGATCCATATGTGATGTTACTCATGTCTATTGTTCTTCGTTCATGATATCTCTTACCCATAGTTTTGCATAAATCTTAAGATTTTATCAAATCAGTGTCGGTTCATAGTAACTGCATTCCCATTTGCCTGTTTGTTCTTACTTTCTTGTTCTTGATGTGGTGTATTAATTTATTCTTGTTGTTTTGTGTTGTGTTGTTTCTTAGCTTGAATACATCTTTGCACACTGCAGTCCGGATTTTTCTCATGTAATTAACGTGATATAATCTGATACTAATCATCTTTCTCGAGCTTGTGTACATAATGATTGCATTGATTTGTGTTGGCTTTTTATCAAAAAGCAAATTTGTCGTTTTTGTAACGAATCTCATTCTACATTGTCCGTAATAAGAAGTTTTGTTTTGACACGTGGGGCGATTCAGATTTCAGAGATTCTTGGAGATATTGTCTTAGCTTGATTGGCTCATACTGAATGTTTTGGTTAGTAGCCGAGAATTTTGTAGGAACTGAAGTACCGAACCTTATTACTTTTTGTCCTCTTGTTGTTTGGATAGTATTATACCGCTACTTGTTCCCATTGCTTTTCTTGTTGATGAGTGAAGGATTGATTACACTGGTATTTGAATTTTGCTGTCTTTCAGTTCTCTAGTTTCTGATATTTGGAGTGACTGAGTTTCCTGTATGTATATAGCCATTGATGGAGTCCATAGCTTTATGGATCATGCTTCAAATCTAGTATGTATATGACCTTCAGAAGCTAAGTTTCTTTGATGGGGTGTCATTGACTGATTTGAATGTGATTCTTGATTTTGTACCAAGTATAGTATTCACATATCTAGTAAGTAATTGTTGTGGTTTGATATGCCCAATTATTGGGTAGTTAATATGGTTTTATTGCAGATATATTAGGCTGCTGTTTACAGCTATGCATTTTACTTATTTGGTGCACTCTGTGATTGATACCTTTGTGTCCAGTGTTTGTATCATAAAGGAAATTTTTACAATGTCCTCTTTACTACATAAATAGAAAGGACTGGTGATATTTTTGTGTTATTTACAATCTTGTAAAAATCGGCTTAGGCGGCCGGTTAGGCAACCCTAGGTCGAGGCGATTTTAGCCTTAGGCGGCTTTTAGTTGGTTGACCGACTAACTAGTTGACGACGCCGATTTGACGGGGTTGAGCGCCTAACTTGACTGAGTCGGTGCCTAACTCGGCCGAGTTCACGTTCAACTTGGCCAAGTGGTTTTTTTTGTCTGTAAAGCCACTCCTCTTCTATATTTTTCAATCATGTACTTTTCTTCTATATATTTTTAGTCATGTACTTATCTTCTATATTTTTTAGTCATGTACTTATCTTTTATATTTTTCAGCCATGTATTCAACTAATCATCTAACATATGCAGTTGATTAGTTTGTGAGATTATAACAGTCTAATAACTCCTCATTCTGAGTGGAAAAAGTGGATACGATATGCTCGGATTACTTCACTTAGGCACTGCCTAGGTGCTCTAGGTGCTGGGTGTCCGACTAGTGTCTAGCACATTTTGCAACGTTGGTTATTTATAAGAATGTTACTTGTTTTCTATTTAAAGTACAATACATACTTTATTCGTGTTAGAATAAAGTCTTTGAAATTGATTCTAAGAGATGTGTTTACACGCTTGACAGCCTTACACAAGATCTATCTTAATGTTTAATAGAAATAGAAAAATCATGTTGATATTTATTTGTTGATGGTTAAATTCGACAATCAACCAATTAAAATATGTAATGTTTCTTTTGTTCTGAGCGCACTATAGGGCTTGGTAATTTATTTTAGAATATCAGGGTCGAATTGGACCAAAAATGTCATCTATTTTCTATTTATAATATTTGGGAAAATATGTCTTTGACATTGTAGGATTCTGCCGCCGGAAGGAGTCCAACTTATTCATCTCAGGGCACGGTTTCCGGCCGGCGAGCATTTCCATCCATGTTTGACGAGTAATGAGGCTAAAATGTTTTACATTAGATCGTTTCTAATGAGAATTACAACAAAAATTTATTAATTTATTTTAATGATAATTATAAATACTCTTGATTTTAGTTTACTCAATATCTTATTACAATTATTTAGCATTATCATTCACCTCGGAACTCCATTGAAAACCAACAACTTCGCTTACCTGTAAAACGCAAAGTTGCCAATGTTCCACCAATTAGTATGCGGCAGATAACCGTACCTAAACCAAATCCTTTGACCAAGGAAACGTATTTTTTTTTTTTTTTTTTTTGCCATTGATAGCTTGTAATAACAATAAATAATGAAAAAAAATCAAATAGGTACCTAAACTTTACTCAAAAAGTCAATTAGGTCTCTAAATTTTTTAAAAGTTGCAATTAAATTTATAAATATACCATTTTAGTGTATTGAAATCTAAAAATCGATTCATGACCTAAAATCCTATAATAGCAGGTCATTAGAGTTTCGATGACCCTCCGACCAACTCCGACGACAATCGACCAAACTTTGGCAAACCAGCGAGAAGGTGACCAAAAACAAACCATGGTCGCCTTCTGCTCTAAGAAAAGACAAAAAAAAAAAATGGTCGTCTTTTGGTCTGCTGGAGAAGGTGACCAATTATTGTTGCCTTCTGGTCCGCCGGGAGAAGGCAACCATACAGGTAAACCAAACTCCGTCAGACTAGAAGGTAACCAAAAAAATGGTCGCCTTCTGGTCTGCTGGAGAAGGTTCAAGAGTAGAATTTGGTCGCCTTCTCGTTGGTTCGCTGGAGTTTGATTGGAAAGTCGCTGGAGTTAGTCGGAGGGTCACTGGATCCCTAATGACCTGTTATTATAGGTCATGAACCGGTTTTTGGACTTCAATGCGCTAAAATGACATGTTTATGAGTTTAATTGCAACTTTTAAAAGTTTAAGAGTCTAATTGACTTTTTGAGTAAAATTTATGAACTTATTGGACCATTTTCCATAAATAAATATGTAAACTTAACCTTTGCCAGACTTAATAAATACGGAGTATCAAAATGTTTATCAATACTCTTTTGATCGAACATGCTTCTTGCACTGAAAGGTCATAAGTTAATTCTTATATATCTATTATTTATATATAGTGTCCTACCGGCTTCAATTATTACTATTCAGGTGTAATTGGTTGATTGGATTAAGCGAAGTAAATGCACTTAATCTGTATAAACAAAGGTTATCTGGAGGATCGGAATACATGGACGTCACATGCGTAATGCGTTGAAGACGGGTGTAGATCTGCCCGATTGAATCGATCGGCTGTGCCTGGACACGTCTATGGTTTCGCGGCTGTCTCCATATGATTGTTCTTGTCTTTTTTAGGTTATTTTAGCATGCAAACATCATAGATGTCTGTTTTCCTTAAAATACTTTCATTATTATAATTGTCTTCCAGGCCAAATTGTCTGCTGGCATGAATGCGCATTGCTAGATAGCTTTCATTTGATTTTTTTTTTTTTTTTTTTGAAAGAGCTTTAATTATTAGATTGATTGATAGTCACGGAAAATGTGAACCTGTAATTCACATGGAATGGAGCTTCTGCTAGCTTTTCTTCTTTCTTGATCGTGACTCTGAAGCTCATCCTGTTCACTACATTTGCTCACCACTACAATTTCTCCAACTCAAATTCATCCCATGTTCTTTACTTTTATTCTTCCATTTCATCCAAGAAATATAAGATTCGATTGCTAATAACTAATCAGAGCATATATATATATAATAGTCCTCAAACTATACAATGTAGAGACATGATTGGTATACAATTAAGGGATTCAAAAATTAAACTTTTGACATTTTAAAATAAAGTTAAAAACAGATGTCATTTGACAACGAATAGCTTCCCAAATATGATTTTGCTTTTCTTTTACTTTTAGTAAAGAATTAGTTTAGGTTCATATATAAATTGTCATTTAATTCCACTTGCTTTGATTTGTTCATATTCCAGAATAAGTTATTCCTATCCCAAAGCAGCCACTTGGCATCTTCTTTATGGTAGATGTGACACCAAAAGTTGAAGCAGTTTTCATTATTTTCAGCATCTAATGACTAGATCCAAATATGTAGCAATTTCTTTTCCTTTAATTCTTCTATTGATCGCATTTTGCAGGATTCTTACTCAAACAAAGTTTAGTTCATAGTTACAATTTATTTATAATTTATCTAATTAAATATCAACCAAAAATAATTTTAGTTGTAATATTCTACAATAATATTTAGGCAAATGTTGGTGTATAATTGTGTAACCTTTTAATTTGAATATTTATCAAAAATTCTTGTTTACATCTATCTATCTACCATGTACTTATTAATGTCTCAATATATCTGAATATTATATTTAAAAACATGTGAAGCTCTTGCCAACATCCTTCAAAATTACACTAATATTTATTATTTTTGTATGTACTATATAAATAATGGTGTACGTATTTGTATAAGCAAAATTCTTTGATATAAACTATTCCAATGTATCTTTCAAAATATAAAAAAGATGTGATTTTTTTATTAAAAAAAAAAAAAAAAAAACTATGGCCACACCAATGCAATCAATCATTAAAAGTAGTCTAACACCCTAAGCTTTGAAGCTTATTCAGAGATTATAACCAAGCATATGAAGGCTATGCTTGGCAAACCTAGCTGAAAGTTGAAAAGTTATAAGTTAGGAGCTGAAAAATGAAGAGATGTTAAGTTAGCCGTTATGCTTGAAAGTGTTTGGTAAAATTAGCTGTTTGATAAGCTGATAAATGTTAAAAGACTAAAAAAGCTATCTTCATAAAATTTAAATTAGTCCGTTTACCTATTAAAATTTAACAATTTAAAATAAAATTATTAGCATAATCACGATCTAGCATCTCATAACATCTTCATCATACATATTAGATAATCAATCTTAAAATAATAATAATAATAATAATAATAATAATAATAATAATAATAATAATAATAAAGGATAAAGGTGCGGGTAAAGGATTTGTCATTTTCTAAAAAATGTTTAATAATAATAATAAAGGATTTGTCGTGAAAGTTGCAGGAGAAGTAGAGAGTTTTTAATTGGGAAAGGGTAAATGATGTTATTTCTTTAAAGTAATAAGGATAAAAATGAAAAAAAAAAAGTTAGGAAGCTACTATCTTATTTGGAAACGCTCCAAAATAAGATCTTATTTTAAGTTACAAGCTTATTTTGGGAACATTACTAAATAGAGCTTATAGCTTATTAATAGCTTAAAATAAGCTATAAGCTCCTAATAAGCTTTGCCAAACATAGCCCAATAATAAATATATAAGCTCTTTAAACAAACAATTAACAAACATATAAGTTCTTCAATCAAACATATAAGCTTTTCAAACAAACACGAAGACACAACAAACATATAAGCTTTCTTTGAAAATCAAGCCACTTAAATTATGACATATAATTTGAAGATTAAGCTAAGTCACTTGAATTCCGGAGGCACTTCAATAGAGTATTCAAGGCATCCAAATAAAAAAATCAGAGGACTATACAGAAATCTTATACCTACACCGCATTAGTAATATTTATAATCACAATTTTAAATTTTAATATGTAATTCAATTTTCTTTATTGTCATATATAAATATAAATATTATTGTATAGAAAGTAGTAAATTGTCAATTTTGAAAATCTCAACTTTTACTCCAAAAATAATTCATGACTGCTAGTCTCCTACGTTAATCTTTGTCTTCTACTCTTCTGTACAAGTAACCTTAGAGCACATCAAATTGACTACACTCCAACTCGACTTGGACCGGACCGCCGCACCTATATATAAAACCCAGTTTTCAGCCGAGACCCACAAACCGCGGGGTCTGTTCTCCGCCAATCTCTCTGCGTCTCGCTCGCTCGCTCGCTTCGATTTCCGGCGAAAAAGTAGCGGCTAAAAAGATGGGGGATGAAGGGGAAGCGCTGCTGAAGAAGAAGAACAACAAGGCGCTTGGGCGTAGCAAATCGCACGCGTTCGACGAGCTGCATAGCTTCAGGTCATGGTTGAAATGGATGTGCGTGGATCAGTCGGACCGGTGCTCCACCGCGCTCTCGTGGACCGTCTTCCTGGTGATGACCGTCGGCGTCCCTTGCTTCTCGCACTTCTTCCTTGCCTGCAGCGGCTGCGACAACCAGCACAGTAGGCCCTACGACGCCATTGTTCAGCTCTCTCTCAGTGGCGTCGCCGCCCTCTCCTTCGTCTGCCTCTCCGGCTTCGTCCGGAGATACGGCCTCCGCAGGTTCTTGTTCTTCGATAAGCTCTGCGACGAGAGCGAGGCGGTCAGGAAATGCTACACTGAACAGCTCAATGTAAGTTTTTCTTCTTCCTTTCTTCGTGAATTTTCGTTCTTTATTCCATGATTATGATGATCACCCTTGTTTTAAAACTATAAAGAAATTTGATTCTGTGACCGGAATTTCGACAGTTGTTGAACTCCGGTGATGGATTTAACGGTAAAGATTCATTCTTTGTGAACAGAAGCGTGTGGGTCTTCCCCTGTTTCTGAACTTGCTAATTATTACCAGAAATGGGAATTCTATAAGAACAAGAAAGGATTACTGCATGTTCAATGTTCGTCTCAGAAGGTGCATTACAACTAAGGATACAATATTTAGTAATTTTTGCCGACATTTTGATGATTCTTAGACCAAGCCCATAATTTTTCTTGCACGCAAGTTGTCTAACACTAGAAAGAAAAAGTGGTATCACTAGCTGTAATGCCTGTAAGCATGTAGGGGAAAGAGAGAGCCTTTTGTTGCATAACAGATCAGACTGACAGTTGGATTTTCTTTCCTATAATCATCATTGTTGACTTTGTTTTTTTTTTTTTTTTTTTTTTTTTTAATGATTAAAAAATGTTGCTCTCTAGAACATCCCCAGTAGTGGAAAATAGTTATGGATTGACTGTTAATTGTTATATTCCCACTTCCCAGCATGCTCTTTGTACCCTTCTGGCTTGCTGGCATAGAAATCTGAAAGGAAAAACAAAAGGAATAAGTCTAAAGATTGATATCCTCTTGTAGGGGGTAACCCATCCTGTGTGATCGATGTAAGTCATGCAGTCTTAATCACAGAGTTCTTTGGCTATCTGATTGTCATATCCTACTCAACCGATAGGTAGGTGAAAATTAACCATTTAATCACATTCCTCCATGGTAAGCCACAGCACCACGTCTCGAATCGAGCAGGGGCTGAACTCGGCCAACTTGACCGATGCCCAACATAATGAATTAAATCCACACAATATCACATGTGAACTCTTAAAAATGGATGTTTGTGGTTGGTACTATGCAGAAATAGTATCAACTGAATCAAAGAAATTAAAGTAGGTATTCTTTAGTTGATTGAATATTAGATGAAGGGTAGCATTGAACAACATGAACTGACAGCAATTGTTTCTACTTAACATACAGAGATCAATAAGGATCCTTTTCATCTTTGTCATGCCTTGTCTTGCTGCTGAAAGTGCATACAAGATATGGTGGTACACCTCAGGTGGGACCCAAATCCCATTCTTGGGCAATGCTGTTGTGAGTGATGTCTTTGCCTGCACACTGGAGCTGTGCTCTTGGCTTTACAGGACGGTGGTCTTCTTCCTCGTGTGCGTTCTATTCCGTCTCATCTGCTACCTCCAGATCCTCAGACTGCAAGATTTCGCTCAGGTTTTCCATCAAGACTCCAATGTGGAATCGGTGTTAAGGGAGCACCTCAGGATCAGAAGGTATTTGCGGATTATAAGCCACAGATACCGTGTTTTCATCTTATGGGCATTGGTGTTCATCACAGCTAGCCAATTCGCGTCTCTTCTTGTGACTACACGAGCCACTGCAGATCTCCATATCTACAAGAGTGGTGAACTCGCGGTATGTAGGATTTATTTCTTACTTAGTTAATTTGGCTTTCTCAATTTCATCATTCTTTATCACAAGCACTAAATGAAGAAGTGTCGTTTTTGCCTTGATATGCAGCTTTGCTCTCTCAGTCTTCTTGCTGGCCTCATGATACTACTGAGAAGTGCAACGAGAATTACCCACAAAGCACAAGGAGTGACATGCCTTGCTGCTAAGTGGCATGTGTGTGCAACGATTGACTCGTTTGATACAGTCGAGGCTGAGACTCCACAAATTGCTCAGATGCCTTCAGCAGACTGTGTGTTCCCCGTGACTTCTGATCCATCTTCTGATGCTGATGATGTTGGTGACGAAGAAGACGAGCTAGACAACACAAACTTTGTTCATTCATATGCCTTTAGCACGATTTCGTTTCAAAAAAGACAGGCCTTGGGTAAGTTGACGTTGTTCGAGACAAAAAAGATTTTCATTGCTTTGCTGTCTGTCCATATTACCCAATTAACATTTGTGGTTTGATATGTTGCCAGTTACATATTTTGAGAACAACCGAGCGGGTATTACAATATATGGATTCATGTTGGACCGGTCTTCGCTTCACACAATATTTGGTATAGAATTGTCACTGGTGCTGTGGTTGCTGGGGAAAACAGTTGGCATTTCTTGAATGATGATCAGAACTGCAGCATTGACAGAATTTAATGGATTCAACACATACATAGTTCATGAATGCCAACAGAAGAGCTGGTGATTCAGTTTTGTTGGCACGGTGAAACTTAATATATATATGTATATGTATATGTATATGATGGTGCTGGAGCCTGGGAATGTAAAAGCTATTCAATAATTTGTTGATTCTGATCTTTGGTTGTAGCTCTGTATCCATGTTTTCCCCTTATTAACTGCCAGCCATTATATTCCTGTTATTTGATCTGCAGTGATGTTTTTGGAGAGTTTGGCAATCAAGCATTTGTCTTGTAACTTGTGTCTCTATTTATGGAGAGCCTTATGCAATATTAGGCCATCCCCAATAGGGGGATTTTGCACGAGATTTAAGAAAAAAGTGAGGATGTGGAAGGGAGAGGAGAGAGGAGAGAGAGGGATGAATTGCTTGCAGTAAGTTGGGGATTTTGGTCGGGAATGGGTCCCACATAATTATTGTTAGGCACTTGTTTAGCGCGTTGGGCACAAATTGTGGCTATCTCCATTTTTTTTGTTTCAGATGGGTGCAAAGTGACTGACAAATCAGAATAAGCGCGTGAGCACTTTTTTTTTCCTCATTTCTTTTTTTGTTTTCTTTTATTTTTTTTTCTTTTTCCCTCTTCTACTATTTTCTCTCTCCTAATCACATCTGCAAAATCCCCTCAAAAACTTACCACTATTGAGGATGCCCTTATAATACACTTGTCATTTGATTTACGGAAAAAAACTTGCAGCCATTATTCGAAGATATAAGTTGAGTAAAATTTGCCTAGTGACACGAAATCAATTGTTCAATCAATTTGGTTGAGGTTAGCTTCCAAATAATACACTTGCCTTGGTTATACAGATAATTGTCAATAATAAATATAAAATAACTCTATACATATATGGAAATTAGGTAAAAGATCAGATTTTATAAATCAAGGAATAAAATGTGATAAAAAAAAATTAATAATCGAGGACCAAATATGAAAATGATTCAATAGTTGTGGGACAAATAAAACTGAATTAATATTCAAAATGATCATCGACTATAGTGGTTTTTCTCAATTTCGTCCTAAACGACTTTGGTGATCTAATGTAGTCCCAGACTTTTGTGTTTTCCTTAATTTAGTCTTTCGTGTTTTATTCATTTCATTTTGTGTTAAATAGAGGGACAATTCAATAATTTCAATATTGACATCTCTTTACTCATAGATCTGCGAAGTGCGAAATCCTTCTTTCTTTTACGAATTACTTTAAAACCTGTGAATATAAAGTTTGATTCGTAAGTCTGGGAGTAATTCGTAAAAGAAAGAGAGATTTCACACTTCATAGGGCTGAGAGTAACGAGAAATCAATATTGAAATTATTGAATTGTCTATTTATTTAACATCAAATTGACGAAGTAACGAACGAAGGACTAAATTGAGCAAAAACACAAAAGCCTAAGACTACATTAAGTCACGAAAGTCGTTTAAGACGAAATTTAGATGTATCTTACGTGTATATCTTATGCTTAGTTATGCATATTATGAAAATGGTAAAATGAAGATATCTTAGTAATATGAATTAGGTGTATCTTACGTATATATCTTATGCTTAGTTATGCATATTATGAAAATGGTAAAATGAAGATATCTTAGCAATATGAATTGGGTTGGTATAAATTTTGTATTTAAGAGTCATGAGTTTATTGTTAATACATTTTTAGCCGTGTTTATTGTATATTATTTTTTTATTTTTTCAATCCAATCTACCTATTTTGTGTGATTTATGAGCTATTAGAGAGAAGTGAGTTTACCAAGTGTACACTCTCAAACGACTGCACCATTGAAAAAAGAGTTATATTAGTACTCTCAAATTGTACTCTCTCAATTTTACTTCTAATGTGGCAGGCTTAATAAGATATTTTTTCTATGTGGGTCCCTAAGTGATTTTGTGTGTGAGTACAAGTTGAGAGTAAAAATGGGAGTACACAACATTTTCCTTGGAAAAAAATAGTATATATAATGAGTTATAATGTACTTTAATTTATACTCTCTCGCTTTTATTTTATAAAATGATAAACAGATTGGATATTTTCATCATGTAAGTCCTAAGAAAAGTGTTTATATCAAAAATTTGTGAGAAGAAATATAAGTCCAGAGTAAGAAATATTGGGAGTCCATGTAGGACATATATAATTATGTTGCAAATTCCCATAATAAACATTCCAAATAGTATATATACTCACGTAGTCACGTATTAATTTATAGGTATAATGCTATTTATGCACGAAATGTTTGATGTCCTTGCCGCGAAAGGTCTTGTATAGTTGTATGGAGGATTCATACACACCCTACGAGGATACAAAAAAAGGCGGATTTTCACCAGATTGAGATTAAATGAATCCAGTCTGAATTTTGTATTAACTAAACGTGGTGGAGGGAACAGACGAACATACATACAGTAACTTCTCCGGCGAGGCTGAGTGAATTGTTTGAAGATGATGAACAGTTTTCGAGCTAGTTTCAAAAGGGAGGATTCAAAGGGGAAGACGCTGGATAATAGCAGTTCAAAAGGAAGGGAGTCGTTCCTGGACATCGATGATGCTCCGATTAACCGCTGCTCCAAAGAACACGAGAAGACATATAAGGAATGGTTCGCCTGCGCTGATTCAGGTTAGGTTCATTCAATTTCACGTTATTTTTATCCCTTCCGATGATAATGTCTGCGTTTATGCGTTAATTCGGAATTGATTTTTTAGATGGAGATGGACGCATCACCGGAACCGACGCCACGAAATTCTTCGGCATGGCCAACTTGTCTCGTCAGGATCTTAAGCAGGTTCAATTCAGTTACAAAATTCTTTATCTATTCATAATCACCGTAACGCTCTGCATTGAAGGTTGCTGGTTTTAATTTTTTAAGTTTTTATTTTACCTGACAATGTTTTGGGACAAAATACCAATAGAAATGATATTTTAAATATCCTCACATTCCCGCTCCTTTGGCGCGCACGCGTACGCGAGTCTCCTTCCATTGTCATAAATTAGAAAATGGCGAGTCACTCTAAGATACAAAAGGGGACAAAGTTGGTGTTTATTGGAAAACAAGTTCAATAGTAGCAACTACTCAACAATGATTCCATTGTGTATACTTGCAAGTCATTGATATGCTCATATATACAAGTTTGACCTATTAAATATACTCCATAATTGATATCTGTGTTTTTAATTTGGGGTTACATTGTTAGCTATGTTACAAACTAAACTGAATAGTTTAGCTACTAGAAGGCTCTAGCTTTTTCAGCTTTTGGTAAAAGTGATATGGATTTATATCGTAGGTTCTTTAGTATATTCTACTTTGGGATAGTCACATGCTGCCTTCCAATTGTAGATTTTCATGTATGATGTATTCAATCCATGTGAAAGCCAAGGGATATGCGGATGCCCCCCCTCAAATATCTTTCTCATATTTCTCCCTTTTCAGAACACTCTATTTAAACATATTGGACAATATTGATTTGCTTTTTTCCTTTTCTCCAAGGTCTGGGCAGTTGCAGATTCCAAGAGGCAAGGGTTTCTAGGTTTTAAAGAGTTTGTTACAGCCATGCAGGTTTTCATTCTGTTCTGGACTTTTGCCTTTTATTTTAGAATGATGATCTCTCTCCATGAATGATTCTTTTTTTTTTTTTTTTTGGGATATGATTCCAACATGTAGTTAATCTCTTTGGCACAAGCTGGACATGCGGTGACTACTGATCTCTCAACAACTGGAGGTAACTAATGTATTTAACAATTTTCTCCCTTTCCCTTTGGTAACATGATATCCAACTGATAGGTTACACGATGTATGTAAGTATGTTTCTCTGTGAAATACAAAGTAGATTGTTTTCGTATTGTGAATTTGTGATCATACTATGGAAAATATTTACAGTTGACTTGGAAAATTTGGAACCACCTACCATGGAAGGTTTGGATGCATTATTGGCTGTAAGTCTACTAGATTCACTTTCTGAATGGTACTTTATGTTTACGTACTGTTGAATGATTTAACTTCTTTAATCATTTCACACAGAAGAAAAAGCGTGGTTCTTCTGATGGTAAGATTATTATAGTAGGTGTAATATTTTTCTTTTATCAATTTGATCTCTTTTCCTCCTGTTTTTCATTATTTATATATTTTGCCTTTTGAGGGTGGAAGTAGTGTCAGGGCCAATAAACTTGAATTTAACTAAATTGGCTGTGGTGCAGGAAGTCCTCCCAAGCAATCTTCAACTGGTTGGTTTCAATCTTCAAAATCTACAAAGGTCTCCTTATAAGCTTCAATATATGCTTTGAATAATGAATATCAAGCTTAAGATTCTTCTGCTCCTCTTAATCAGTCATGCATTCTGTGCATTTTCATGAAATCAACTGTTCCCTCACTGATGATGCAATATCCAAGTTCTGCTCACATATTGTAGTATTATTTAGCTAGCAGTCATATACATGACCAACAAGTGCTGAAATTAGTTTTGTGCTGATCTCTTCCCTTGACATAATTTCCCAAAGATATGGGATTTAGTTTGCTAATAATTATGTACTCTTGGAAATGTCAGTTTTTCCCCCTCCAAAAAAGCATGGCCAGCTAATTCATTGCTAACTTTTCTTTTTCACTGGGACTGTATTAAGCTTTTTCCTCTTGACATATCATTATGAAGTACTTCAAATTTTCAAGAGTTAATTTCTGTAATTTATAAATCTTCGCTTATTATTCAATTCATTGTGTTTCTTTATTTTTTTTTCACTCTAATAAGTTTATGTTTTGCATTGATATTAATTTGGTTGTCTAATTCATTTTTCTAGTATTTTGTTCCTGGGATCACGTGACTTTTTCTTCCTTGTATGCTGTCAGATTCCTTTAACGTCTGTTACTTCAATAGTTGATGGATTGAAGAGGTTATACACCAAGAAACTGAAGCCTCTGGAAGTTACATATCGGTTTAATGATTTTGTCTCTCCCTTATTGGTTGGTGAAGTTCTTCTACTATACATAATCATATCTTTTTCTAAAAAGAAAATGTATATTTCATGTTTGATTTTGGGGGAAAATGTTGTTGCATATTTGATATTTGGGATTTGTTCCTATTATTAATGTATTATTTGTTCATAGGCAAATAGTGACTTTGACTGCAAGCCCATGGTGATGCTTTTGGGTCAATATTCTACTGGGAAGACAACTTTCATTAAACATATGCTTAGGAGCAGTTATCCAGGTACCATGTTTACCATACCCTCTTTCTGTTCTTTATTTGCAAGTTGTTTTTGCATTCACTTTCATCTTGTTCGTGCATTCTCATATGGTATTGTAAACTTACAGGAGCTCATATTGGACCAGAGCCTACTACAGATAGATTTGTGGTTGTCATGGTATAATTCTATTTTTATATCTTTGTTATCTGAAGATAAAGTTACTATGTAAGCTCATACACGAGTTTCACTAAATGTTATCTGAGAGGAACTCTTTCTTGCTGCTAATATTAACCTATTAGCAATCTAGATGGCACAGAAAATTGGATTGATGCTTTTTTTAATCTTTTATTTTTAATTTTTAATTTATTTATTTTTAAAGTATAAATAGAAAGCTGCTAGTAGCAATTGTAGTCTCAAGTTAGTTACGGGTATAGAAATTGTTAAATGTTCCTCCACCATATGCTAAGATTGCTAACTGATATTTGTATTAGATTTGCCAGTTGCTAAATTTTGGCAGCTTAATTTCTAGACCTTTTTGGTTTTGCAATGTTACAACTGTTCTTTTACATATGGGAACTTTACTTTTATACTTCCATTCAATTGCCAGTCATTTAACAATCTTCATGTATTTGGGAATCCTAACACTTTATACTGTTGGTCAACTCTATCATTTTGGTCTAAGCAATGTTCAATGGTGATTTTTACAGAATGGACCTGATGAACGAAGTATTCCAGGCAACACAGTAGCTGTTCAAGCAGATATGCCATTTAGTGGTCTTACAACATTTGGAACTACATTTTTGTCAAAATTTGAGTGTTCTCAAATGCCTCATCCTGTGAGCTACTAACCACTTTTTTGCTTATAGAATACCAAAGACCTTCACAAACAGTCAGTTGATTTTATCCTTTTGCTTTTGGGTATTTATTTACTTTTTGGTCCTTGTCATTCTGAATGCTTAAAAAGCTGTTGGAGCACTTAACATTTGTTGACACGCCTGGAGTTTTATCCGGAGAGAAGCAACGTACACAAAGGAGCTATGACTTTACTGGTGTCACATCTTGGTTTGCATCCAAGTGTGACCTCATATTGCTGTTGTTTGATCCTCACAAACTTGACATTAGTGATGAGTTCAAACGTGTGATTTCATCTCTGCGTGGTCACGATGATAAAATAAGGGTGGTTCTGAACAAGGCTGATCAAGTCGATACTCAACAAGTGAGACAGTCAATGCATTTGGAGTTTTTCTTCATTTTAGTTTCAGCTGTCTATGATAATGCATATGCTTTCTATGTTTACTTCTTTTACTTCACTGAGAAATTGTCTACTGCAGCTCATGAGAGTTTATGGAGCGTTGATGTGGTCTTTGGGGAAAGTTTTGAATACTCCAGAAGTTATGCGCGTTTACATTGGGTATGTTCTTTATGATTTTCTCATCATCTTATTATCTCATTGATCTAAACTATCTCCTCACATAATGAACTGATTATGTTTTTATAGGCCGAACAAGTAGAAATATTTTAATTGGAGTTTGAACTCAAATCTTTTGCCTACTCTTGATATCATATTTAAGTGTATTTTGTTTCGAATAGAAGTTTAAACAATTAACAATGATACTTATCTACTTTTTATATTTATATTTAACATATGTCCTTTCCATGCTATATATCAATTTAACATCTAAGAATGCAAAAGATCATTGTTTGGGATTGAAAGTATCTTGCAGTGGATAGATTAAAAATCTTCAAATCTACTTCACATTAATGGATTTGAAATCAAGACTTCAAGTTATGAAAATTTTGTGGGTTTCACAGGTCATTCAATGACAAACCAATAAATGAGAATGCTTATGATGGTCCAATTGGTAGAGAGCTTTTTGAAAAGGAACAGGAGGACCTGCTGAACGACTTGAAAGACATACCAAAGAGAGCTTGTGATCGTCGTGTGAGTTTTAAATGCCCTTTTTTGTTTTGCTCATTATTATCATGCTGTAATAGTTTTTGCATCAGTAAAAATCTTGAACCAAATGTACAAATGCACCGTGTTCTTCAGATTAACGAATTTGTAAAACGAGCGAGATCTGCCAAAATTCATGCGTACATCATAAGTCATTTAAGGAAAGAGATGCCTTCCATGATGGGCAAAGCCAAAGTCCAACAGAGACTTATTGATAACTTAGCAGACGAGTTCCAAAAGGTAGCTCTTCCCCCTTCCTCTCTTTCTCCCTGTGTGAAAGCTCTGAAATGATCTGCTTTGTAACCAACTCGTCCAAACAGGTCCAGAAGGAATACCATTTACCAGCGGGGGATTTTCCAAACGTTGATCAATTCAAGGAAACTTTGAGTGGTTACAAAATCGATAGGTTTGAATATTTGAAGCCTAAAATGATACAAACGGTAGACGACATGCTCGGATATGACATCCCAGACCTTCTCAAGTCTTTCAGGAATCCTTATGACTAGAGAATGCTATTATTGTATATTGTTTTTGTATTATATTATAAGAATCGTGGATGATCTAAGTAGTAGTTATATTTATTCAAAATTAATGTAAGATTATATGTAAGGAGGCGTTCATGTGGATTAAATCTAGAGGTATACTGAAAGTTTGTGTTCAGTTGGATTGCCTCAACCTGATTCAAGCTTTGGTAAACATGAGATTGGATAGGTCTTATTTAGGCTCTATTAGTTTTTTTATTGTAAAACTATCAGTAGTTCATTTTCTTTTTGTGTTTTTCAATATGTTCCTAGATCAGTGAACTAGATCGTCCATACTTTGACTAAGGTAGTTGGTTCTCAATCCAGATATATGAGTTGGGATAATGTTCCCCTCATTTTCTTCATACTTTAATTTAATATATGCAGTTTGAGTTGTTGGTTTTCAAAAAAAAAAAAAAAGTAGGATTATATTTTTCGTTTTTTCAATTACATATCTTTTTTCTTTCTTTCTTTTAACAAGTATTGAACTAGTTTAACCATAAACTGACATTACTTGCTAATGCTACATGGGGCATGCCTTGCAAAATGTCCCATATATTGATTAAAGCCAATTTTGACTAGAGTTGCCAGTGTGATTTTTAAAATATATGGGTCAATTTGTGAACATGAATAACTCGGGGTCCGGGTGAAATTTATTATTCTTTTGTATCGATCAAATTCGGGGTTCAGGAATAGCAGAAAGAGAACCCTCTCGTCTACCCATCAAGTCGGCTACAGCTTGAGGTCAAGCTGTTTGATAAAATTTCTGTTATGGTTCCAGCATGAAACAAGCAAAAAATCTCTTCTTTTTTTGTTTTTGTCTTTGATTATTATCACCATGTGGAGAGGGATTTGATTACGGTTTCTTCTTTACTACAGTTAAAGGAAAATACTTAAGACGAGGGAAGAAGAAAATGCTGCCTCACAAGATGAAGAGCTTCGTTGCGGAAAACCCAAAGAAATTAGGGAACTTAATTAACCTAGTTAATCTCCCTTCAGCACTAAGAGACTTCATGGGTCAGTCCCAGACGTCGCGTTTGGGTTGTTTCAAGCGTATTTGGTCATACATCAAGGAGAACAATCTCCAGGTAATTCAGTCTTTTCTGAATATAATTAACTGGATGTCTCTAATCAAGACTGATGTTTTGATAAGTATAGGGGAGGAGATTGTTTATGTTTATGTATTTGGAACAGCTAAGCTATGGTGTGTTCTTTCTGACTTATTTTCTACCTTGAGACATTGATAATTCGTGATCTTTTGCTTATTCTAGGATCCAAATAACAAGAACTTAGTCAACTGCGATGAAAAACTGAAGAGCATTCTGTTGGGTAAATCCCAGGTTGATCTGGCTGAACTTCCTGCACTCCTCAAGTTGCATTTTCCTAAACCCAACTCAAAATGATTGCTATTATTCAACTATTTTGAGCCTGAGAGGTGCAAACTACTGATCTTTATGGGAAGAGAAGATTGATTCATTTTTCAATTCATTACCAGTTGGAAGAGGTTGAGCTCTCTCTCTATCCCTATCAATTGTTGGCAACACAGAATGCTGGTTTTGGGCACGCTTTTAGCAGCCTCCATAGCCTAGGGCAATGATCAAAGCTGTGTTCTTTGTTGTGTGACCATTGCTTTTATTGTAAGATAACTGATATTGTTTTCTGATGAACATACATATCATTGAGCTTATATTTACGTTTTGATATCAGAAGTCAAAAAATGCAGGCTGGATTATACAGAACATGTTCTTTGTTGTGTGACAATTGCTTTTATTGTAATAGAACTGATATCGCTTTCTGATGAACATACATATCATTGAGCTTATATTTTACATTTTGATATTAGAACTCAAAAGTGGAGGCTGCATTATATAGAAATTGAAGCCCTATATTGACTTCAAAGTTGAAAGGATCTTGCAAGTAGCTTCTATCTTTAACAATTGAAGTGACAAGTTAAAGCCAGAGTGATTGGAGCAATAGAGCATGAAACTTTACAAGTGTGATGATCAAGTAGCTTCTCTCTCTAACAGTTAAGTAACAAGACATGAAACTTTACAAATCCTTTTGATATAGTGAGGAAAAGCCACTTCTATAGTTCTATAATGTCAGTTCAATGGATAGCATGATCATATCCATTAAGGGAGGGGCGTGCTAACCATGACTTCTTGGATCAACAACTCGATGGACCTTACGCTCTTCAGTACTAGAATACTGCCCCACAACACGTGCATGAGGCACCGATGTTTCTCCCCGAGCTAGGGCATCCACATTCTCGAGTAAGTATCGTTGTGGAAGCCGGCCAACAACGTTACCCTCTTCATTCCCATCCTTGTCTAGGAATGCAAAATGGGGGATGCCTTCAACTCCAAACTCATCAAGCTCTTGTTCCCACTTTGTGTTATCCACATTCAGCATAACAAAATTTACTTTGTCCCTGTTAAGTAATAAATAAGCCTCAGTTATGAACAGATACTACATTGTAACAGAGTCAATAGTACTCAAAAAAAATAAGCCACAACTGATACAATGAAGTAATAGCATGTTAATAAACATAAAGTTCGCAAACATATAAAATGGTTGACTTTTGCTAATGCGTTGAAAGAAAATTACTTGTACTGCTGTTCAACTTTATACACATCCGGAGCTAATTCTTTACAAACTTCACACCAATCTGCGTAGAACTCCACCACAGTTGGCTTTCCATTTGAAAGGGCCTATATGATCAGCAAAGAAACATGATTAGAAAAGCATTCTCAACTGAAATAGAATACACGCTAAATGCGTAGGGGTCAGGAGTAGGGCATTGCAGGAAAGCGAAGAAGAGAGAAAACTTTCAGTCAATCAAGAAGAAGTTGAATGAGAAGTTTATGGTCATCCATCCAATCCTTAGATGACAGGAGTTTCAAAATGCCATCTGCACTGCTCATATATAATACATGATAGATAAAGAAATGAACTGCCAACAAGCACTAAAAATGCTTGTGTACAAACCTTCTCATAAGGCATTGCAGCAGCGGATAGATCTTTTAAAGAAACACCGAATTCCAGTCGTCGTGACAAGAAAAGCCCTACTGCTCCAACTATGGAAAACAATGCTATCCTCCTATTGAAACTTTTGTCTGGATATTCAGGTAAACCAGAGTCATTGGAGGAAACCAAAACTTCACTGTCCGTAACACCATTGCTGGAACCAGGCTCTACAGACAGATCTTCCTGTTCCTAGGCAAAAGTAATTAGACCATGGAAGTCGTTAGAACATCAGAAACGATCAGAATATAAACAATAATATTCAAAAAAGTTCTACTAGATAGACATAAATCTCAGTAATTAAAATCATCTGTTTTAGCCGCCGTTTAGGTTAGCACCGGGATTTCAACCTGATAATGCTGTCACTAAACAACAGATCTCAAATGCTACACACCAAACATAGTATGTAAGTTCATGGAAGTTACAGAGAAAAGAGAGAAGAAGCACATAGAATTGAAGAAGAAGAGTGAGAATTTTAGAGACACACCAAACATAGTATGTAAGTTCATGGAAGTTACAGAGAAAAGAGAGAAAAAGCACATAGAATTGAAGAAGAAGAGTGAGAATTTTAGAGAGAAGAATCTAAAATTTTATTAATAGCCAATACAACTGAATTGTTTGCTGAAAAATTATAGCTAGTCTTCCAGGTCATGAGTTTTAAAATAGGAACAATGAGTCATTATAGTTTGAGCATTTTCCCTTTTGTGTGGGCTTATGAGCTATATCCCTTCTTGGCTAGTAGGTTTGGGTTTGTATATCCCAACCCAGTTGGTTTCTAACCTCTTATGCATAAAGAATCAAACTGAATTGCAATGAAAAATCCAGAGTTTCAGGAGCAGTAGCTAACCATTAAAGTCAAACACTATAGCATAAAGAACATAGATTTATAGTGGCATACTGAAAAATAACACAGAAAAGATCCAACCTTTTCTGCAGATTCAGCTGGATTAAGATTAGGGTTCGTCTGGCAACACTCAGTTGGATTGGGATTCGTCTGGCAAAATATCCGAGGAACCCTGCCACCGTTCCGGAGATGTTGGAAAGAGGGTTTTTGAACGTACAAAGAAGGACGCAGCTGGAAATGAAGCGGCCCCAATCTGTGAAGACTGACCGGACTAGAAGCTACTCGTGCCATGCCGGACAATTATCTCTGCTTCTCTCTCACCAAACGGCGCAACAATTTGCAGAGACTGTGTAATTGTGTATCAGTATATGAAGGTAGTGGACGGGGATGACTCTCAAACAAAAATCTTTCTTTTATGTACACGGAAGAATTTAAATAAATGACACTGTTACGTGTACAATACCTTTTACATTGAATTGTTGAACAAAAAATGTTCTTTTTCTTATTTTTGTAGAGTTAAATACCGATTTGATCCCTTGACTATGAAGATTTTACCACTCTGATTTTCGATTTTTAAAATTTTTCAATTTAATTTCCGATTATGATTTCTTTGACCTAAAATTGTCCTAACCGTTAGACGTTCGTTAACTCAGGACCAATTGATAATTTTACTATAGTTAATGGACAATTTCAGTAATTAATTTTCGGAGAAAATGGTGCATGTGACTGAATCTTTGTGCTTCAGTAGCTTTCCTTATACTATCTACAACAAAAGACTCCTAAATTGAATAGGTAGGAGACAAGAGCATCTTTCATTTTCATAGAGAACTCTAAAGAATAACTTCTAACATGCTTATAAACTATGTTGATAATTGGGTAAGTAAGATTCAACACAGAAAACCAGCATCATAATAATGGTTGTGGGTATAGGTTAAGAATAAGAATTAACATGTGATTCTTGCAATCATCAAAACTATAAATAGCGACATTTCATATGGAAAAAGAACAAAATGCATGTGAGTGTTTGTGGCTGATTCAATGCATCCAAGCAGGCTCCATACTATTCTCTGTATGTTTTGCAATCCACTTTCTATATGGCACTGATTTGAATGCTTTGACAATAATTCAATTCTTGTAAAGTTTCATCTCTGATCTATGCATGTGCAATGGCATATTAGTGGTTGAAAAGTTACTATATTTTCTCCATTCTTTTCATTTTCATGTCAATTAAAGTCAGATTATACACAAAATCTGAGCTTTTTATGTGTACTTAGCAGGCAATGGAAGCAGTGGATGCTGAAGATCCCCAGCCTACTTGTGGTACTTTATTGCAGCAGCTGCAGGTTGAAGCTTTCTCCGACAACACGAAAACTAAGCATTTAAATTGTAATGAATTTGTGTTCTATTATATTGCAGAAATTATGGGATGAGGTTGGTGAAAGTGATGAAGAGAGGGATAAGATGCTTCTTGAGTTGGAACAAGAGTGTTTTGATGTATACAAGAGAAAGATCAGCTGTGCAGTGAAGTGTAGGGCTAAACTTCTTCAGGAACTTGCAGATGCCAAAGATGAACTCTCCAGTCTTCAAGCATCACTTGGAGAGATGACATGCAATAATGGGATTATCGTTAGTGATTCTGCTAAAAATTATGGGTTTCTCTAAATTTATAGTATCTTTCTTTCAGGGACCTAATTCGATCTTTCTTTCTTTCAGCCAGATAAAACTTCAAGAACAATCAAGGAACAGCTTGCAGCTATAGAACCTGCACTTGAGAAACTGTGGAAACAGAAAGGGGAGAGGGTAAAGGAGTTCTTTGATGTACAATCACAAATTCAAAAGATAAGGAATGAGATATCGGGGACTAGTGACCAGCCGGAGAGTGTGAAAGTAGATGAGTCTGATTTATCCCAGAAAAAGTTAGATGAATTTGGTGTTCAGCTTCAAGAACTTCAAAAAGAAAAGGTGAAACCAGCACATTAATCAAACTCATAGTAAGGACTAAAGAAGGACACAGTTCTGACTTGTTTCACCTTTTAATGTGATTTTTTTTTTTTCGCTCTATTTTGTTCAGAGTGAGAGATTGCGCAAGGTTCTTGAGTTTGTGAGCACAGTGCAGAATCTTTGTGCAGTCCTCGGGGTGGATTTCTTATCGACGGTTTCTGAAGTTCATCCTAGCTTGAATGATTCAACTGGCACACAATCGAAAAGCATAAGCAACGACACATTGTTAAGGTTGGCAAAGACAGTCTCGGTTTTAAAGGAAGATAAGCAGCAGAGATTGCAAAAGGTGATTTCGCGATTTAAGCAAGTTTTGTCATTTGATTAAACACAGTTCTTAGTTGGTAATGCTAATTGAAGCATGTGCTCCATCTCAACTAAAAGCCTAAGCTGATACTTGGATTGCACATTAATGGTTATATGCTCAACAATGCTGAACTTAGACGTTCCCCTCTCGATCTCCACAGCTTCAAGAATTAGGAGCTGAGCTGATTGATCTTTGGAATCTGATGGAAACCCCAGAAGAAGAAAGAAGTGTCTTTGATCATGTTACTTGCAATGTATCAGCTTCAATCGATGAAGTGATCGGTCCCGGTTCTCTTGCTCAAGATCTAATTCAACAGGTGAACCGAGATTCATATATAGCTTGTAAAATATACTCTCAAATTCATCTGATTTTAGTTACTTTTTTTTGTCTTTCTGTTCCAGATTGCAGTGGAAGTTGAAAGGCTTGATAAGCTGAAGTCTAGTAGGATGAAGGAGATTTCTCTAGAAAGGCAGGCTGAACTCGAACATATTTTTGCCCGTGCTCACATTGAGATTGATACCGAGGCTGCTAGAGAAGAAATCATGGCACTAACCGAGTCTGGTAATATTGAGCCCGCTGAGTTATTGGCTAAGATGGATGATCAGATAGCGAAAGCGAAAGAAGAGGCTTCAAGCAGAAGAGAAATATTGGATAAAATCGAGAAATGGATGTTTGCTTGTGAAGAAGAGTGTTGGCTTGATGACTATAATAGGGTATGAATGTGCCGTGTTTGACTCTTTGTGCTTCAGTAGGTTGAGAAAATAGTTATGAACAGATACTACATTGTAACAGAGTTAGTAGTACTAAAAAAAAAACTGTTATTTGCATCTATATACAGGACAAGAACAGGTACAATGCATGCAGAGGTGCCCACTTGAACTTAAAACATGCTGAAAAGGCTAGGATTCTGGTCAGCAAAATTCCAGGTACAGCATTATATATCATCCTGGAAAATGGCAAAGTAATGTAGTTTTGATCCAATTTTGGTTTGGTTATGAAGCTATTGTTGAGTCCTTGGTTAACAAGACCCAGGCATGGGAACAAGATCGCGGCACAACTTTCACTTACGACGGCGTTCCCCTGCTCGCCATGTTAGATGAGTACATGATGCTCAGACATGACAGAGAAGAACACAAAAGAAGGTTCAGGGTAAGTTCACACTATGATTCAACCTTTTAATGTCGATTTTTTGGTAAATCCCAACTTAGGTTGTCCATAACTGATCGACTCAACCCAAGAAGGTCAGGCCAGGTCAATCTCGTGGTGGTCAAACATAACGTTGTGGTTACCAAATCAATAGTCTGACCAACCCGAGTTTATCTGATTTACAGGAACAAAAGATGAGCAATTGTGGTTTCAGTCCTGGACAACCTAGTACAAAGAAAGCAAATGGGAGCTCCAATGGAGCTGCTCCCAGCAGAAGACTGTCCCTCAGGGGTTGCTATCAAAATGGATCTTCTAGGTCAACTAATAAAGATGGGAAGAGAGATACAAGGCCGGTTGCTCCGGTGAACTATGTGGCCATATCAAAAGAGGGTACAACTTAACCTCACTCAGAGCCATAGTCACTGAACAAGAAACTTCAATATCTCTTACAAATGTAAAAAGGGAAACATGAATCGTGTGACAAACGTAAGGAATCTTAAGAACCTCAACTAAGCCGTGGATGCAATATACTCTATGTCTGTCTGTCTGTCATCTAGTACACGTCGAAGTTCTATCTGTTCTAAGGTTTGCCACTTGGTTTCATCGCCGTTTTCCCCCAAAAGACGATGAACAAGCCAAGACAGTTGCGGCAATTTGTGGCAATAGGTCCAAATTAGCCACCTTGAAATTGGGTTTGGATAGAAAATTATATTAATTAATCAAAAAGTATCAAACTAATAGGTGCATGGTATCTGAAGTGAGACATGCATACACACCCACAATATATATAAATATACATATGTGTGTGTTTGTGTATATAATTGATAAAACATGGTGGCAAGCCTTTGTGGTTTTGGGCACAAGAGTCCTAAAAGAATACTCCCCAGTACTGATCATCAGGAGCTCAAATCTGATCAAGAAGATGTTCATATGAAGCCCAGATGCAGTTGGAGCATCGCGAAAAAGAAGAAAAAAATCCAACCAAATTTGGCTAACAATCATCATCGGGACACTAAGAAGCAGCAACAGCAACAGCAACAACAGACATTGAAGAATGATAGTAACAACAATGGTAGCTTTAAGACTAGGAATCATCATCAGAAAGTTGCTACCTATACCTTGGAAGAATGGATATTATCTTCGCCAGGACCGAATGATTTAAAAGATTGTAGGCAGTCCAAGAAGGTTTATCCTTCATCATCATCATCATCATCATCATCACTGTCCCGGAGGCGGCTGAGAGTTGAAGGAGTGGTTATTAATGGAGCAGAAGATACAGTAGAAATGGAGGATTATCATTCTGCATCAACTTCATTCACAAGTCAGAGTGGGAAGATCAAGAAAAAAGTGAGCTTTAGGCTTCCAGAAGTTGCTGACATTTTCATATTGCCTCACTGATGCCTCCCATCTTATATATATACACTTGTGTTCAAATGAGACCTTAAGTAATTAAGAACGTATAGTATGAAGGATTTATGTATGTATCTCGCTAATGTTTGAGTCTGCACATTCATTAGCATGTTTTTCAAGAATTCTTGTCTACAATGAAAGTTGGGTCAAAGATTCTCACTCCTTACATAAACCTGATTTCTCTTTATAAAAATAGAGAAAATTGCGGGATTTTTATGCTAATTGTGCTTGAAGAACTTAGAATTGATTCATCAGAGTTTAATAACAAAAGTATTAGTTTAAAAACTATTGCCAAAACTCCAAATGGCTATGTTGATAAAAGCTCATAACAATTTATTTAATATCACAAACAATGAGACCATCAGATCAAAGAGAAGGGAGTGGCAGAATGAATTCCATTGAACCTTTATATACAGCATCTTACAACAAAAGTTTTTGAATTGAAAATGAATCTTTATTTACAGCATCTTTGATCTTACAACAAAAGTTTGAAAGAATCTTCATCATCATCTCAATTTGAAGAACTTAACTACTCTACTTCAACAATATAATGTGATGTACTGTATGTATCACAATTTACACAGACCTTAGCTTCCTGCTTGCTGATCCCAGTTTGTCTAAACCATGTACATGCCTGATGATGTTACAGTAGATAAAGAAGGAGAACAACTGAAGTTTAACTGTTTTATGGGAGCTACATCACTGCTTATTGTAATCCATGAATCAGTGAAGAAGATTTCAGCGTTTTGGAGCTCATAACCGTAGAAAGATGGCAGATGATATCCTAGCTGGAGGCGTATATTCACAAGTGGCAGCACCACAGTCCTCAGCATGGCGGACATCATTGTCTACAAAGGGACGACGGTTCAATTTAGATGATAAGATAGATTCAGAAAATAGGATTATATTTGCGGTGGAAGCAACAAAAGATTGGAATGATAAGAAAAACTGCAAAGACAGTTGAGAGAATTCTTGACAACTTGAGCACACTGGGTTTTGAAAGAATGAAGTAAAAATGTTTACTTTTGATCACTGAGGCCAATGTACCTGAACAAGAAACAAGTGCAGATTACCGATTTTACTCCATTTCAAAGACATGGTGTAGTGGTCTAATTTGACGCTACCAGATAGAATACTACTTAACATCTTTGCAGAAACCCAGCCAGTGATCTCCTGCAACCAAAAACATGGACAGAAGCAAATTTGACTCCATTGTATGACTAGTAGTTTGAGCTCAGATATTGATCGATAACACTAGAGAACTGATCAATAAGGCAGTCAAATGTGGTATTCATGATCATGTGAAATATATAAGATGATAACGTACCACTGAAATGCATGCAACGGGTACTACTTCATCCTCATCCAGAACATTAATAATTATATCTGCAGGAATCATCACATATATCTGGTGTTCTTCGATTTTAATAGATGGTGTCGAAGATACAGAAATATTCAGGCTCATGTCATCATTAGGATATAGTTTGTACAGCTTTGGGATAATGAATCTCCACTCGGCAGTGTTTAGTAGGGCTTGGTCAGGTACTTGATCAACAATCCAATGCATCTTATCCGCCTTAACAAGAAACAGAAGTGCTAAATGGGTAATCAATCACATACAATTAGAAATGCAACTCGAGTTAATGGAGTAGATCATAACGGGCCCTGCAAAAGATGATAACAAGAACTTACCTTAAAATAAACAGATAATGCAGACTTTATAACATTTTCATGCAAGAATATTGTAATCATCCCATCTGGATCCTTGCGGGCAATCAAAGGTAAGAGAAGTCCGTGGTAATGTTTGAGAAGAATACTTTCATTTGTGTTATTTAGTAAACCATTGATTGCAAGCACAACAGAAGAATTGCTCATCACCGGATCACCAATGAAAGAAACATTCAAAGAAGCAAATTCAGTGATCTGTATTTCGTTGGGAAGAGACTGCAAAACAGAATCAAGCTTCACAACTCCATCTCCTATTCTCGTTGAGACAGCATCTTCAACTGCAGAGACTAATTTACCTTCGAAAGCATCTAGTACCCTAGCAGTAAGAGGGACTTTTAATGGTACCAAATCTTACTATCAGGGAGAGGAAACGCAAGTTAAAAATAGTATAAATTAGTTCAGCATGTCTCTATTGTGTAGAATAGAGCAGTTCCAGTAATTTTGCATGTAATCAGCTAACAACTAATTTACCAAACACTTTTCTACAATCAGCTAATGCTATCAACTAGTCAAACTCATTAATCCAATCAGCTAACAACTATTTACCAAACACCCCTTATATGAGAGAGGGATCTTAACTCTTAAACAGAAAAGAAAATAATAGGATAATACCCTTGATATAGCCAGGAAGCTCCACCATCCAAGTGTATTGATATACCTTCCACAAAGCATCCACATTCAAGGAAAGACAGTGAAAGAGATCCTTGTTGATTTTGAAGACTAAGAGTAAGTCCAATATCCATACCTTCAACCTATGCAAAAGCAATATTCATAAATTCTCTTCTGAATTCAAAGAGTAAACAAAAAAAAAAAAAAAAAACAAAAAAAAAAAAAACAAAAAAAAAAAAAAAAAAAAAACAAAAAAAGCCATGACTTTACAAAGATAAATTGCTTCTTAGTAGTGAATGCTTATGTCATCATCCTTCTTGGCTTTTCATACTTCATTAATGTGAGAGGCTCACATTTTCTTACCCTCAATGGCCCTGTTTGGTAAAATAGTTAGCCTACCAACCAATTTTGGCTTGTTTGACCTGATTAACTTTTTGTAACAGCTTATTGTTCCAAAATACTAAAATTCAAAAAACTGCTCAAAGCAGCTTTTTCGATCAGTTTTTTGAGAAAGTCATTTTGTATGTAATCAGCTATAAGCTAACAACTAATTTACCAAACAAGGCAAACATCTTTCTACAATCAGCTAATGCTATCCAACTAGTTAAACCCACTAATCCAATCAGATAACAACTATTTACCAAACGCCCCAATCTATTATCTTCCCAAGAGTCAAACTTGAGTGTCAAAATATTCCAGGAAGCTCTCATTACATTATCCAAAAAAAGCATTTACAGAATCTAGTAAAAACAGTAGCTCATCATAGGGATGTTGAATCACTTAAATCAGTAAATTTAAGTGTGTGCTTATTATACAAAAGACCCTTTTTATTAGTCTATCTCATGATATATAAACACTACTCCATTAATACTCCATTTCCTAAAGATGAAGTGTTTGGATGGATACATACCTGAACAGAGGCTTTTCCTTCATCCGAGATAACGGGAAGCAACCAAGTTTTATATGAATACCTCCAATTCATAGTCAAATTGGCAGTGGCACCAGAAACGGCTATAAGAATCCCAGAATCGCCAGTTTTGATAGTTGAGGAAACCACATCTATTGTGTTTATAACAACGTTAGAAAGAGTCATCTCAACTTTCCCCACAACTGGGATATCCACAGATTTCTTGATATCAGGCAGCTCAAGTGGAACTAACGAAGACTCAGCAGTCTCAACCAATATATTCTTCGCAAAATTAAGACCTTTATTGGATATATCCACTGAGACGAACCCCCCTTGTTGTTCATTGGACTCGCCATGGATGAATGAAATGAGTAGTGAAGCTAAAAGAAAAGAGATGAAAATGGAGTGAGCCATGGGAATAAAAATCCAAATTTTCTTGTCGAAGCGCAAAAAGGGAATTTAAACGCTGGGTTGGATTGCCACGCTGCTCCGCTTCTGGGGAATTCTTGGGATTGCACGGAACTGTAGATTCGTGCGGTTGATTCGATTCACGACAAGAAGAAGATATCCCGTACCCGCGATTGTCACCGTTGGGTGTACAGTTTACCAAGAAGGATGTGTCGTAACCCGAATATTCCGCCTTAATAATGCTCAATAATATATATATTATGGAGTATAAAATTACAAAAATAGTATCATCCTGATCCTCACAAAATTTGGTCTTCTGTTAGTCTGTTACTGCCCAAAAAAAAAAAAGACAGGAACATGGAAGGAATGAAGATCGGATCCAGGATGATACATTAATACGGAGCATCAGCAAAAGAGGTAAATTGAGATGGTGTTGTAAATTTCCAAATGTAAAAATTATGTTTTACCCACTTAATTAGAGTTTT